ACAATTTTGAAATTTGTCATATGTCGAAAAAAATCAGGATTTCCAACCAATATGTGATCTGCACCAATCTCTTAAACGATCTTTGGACTACCCACCAACAAAATTTTATCAAAAACTATGGATATTTTTTTTTGAGAAAAAAATTTTACACAAAAATTAAAAATTGTCTATATTTTACACAAAATGTGCGAAAAGACTCAAATTTTGGAAAAATTGTACATAACCTTATTTCAAAATCTATCTTTAAGTAACCCACTTCATTAAGGAAAAAATAAGTATCTTTACTATTTTAGTAAGGGGAAGAAGTCGAAAAATATTTTGCATTTTTTCAATTTTCAAAAATAAGAGTTTTTAACCAACATGAGATTTAAGCGTCTTCATGACACATGAGATTCATAAACGTCCTTCAGACAAAATTTAATCATAATCGATGGTGCTATTTCGTTAAAAATATTTCGAAAATGTCCCAGGAGCTTCTCGTAAAGAACCCCCAAATTAAAATATTGGTTTCAAATTCCGCCACAACAGCCAGAGCCGTCACATCAGCCAGATCGATCGGGAAATATCTATGATGGAGAAAATTGGCAGAATGCTTTCGCTTTCGAATTGGTAATCGCTTTGCCGTCAATCAATTTTTCGATATCAAGGACCCACAAAATAGGGATGTGGACTACACCACATGTTAGAGGATTTTCTCCCCTAAATTTCGTAGCTTGATTTATCCATTATTTCTTTACCAAGAAGTAAAAAGAGGTTTTGGCGGAAAATTCACCATTTTTTCACGCAGCTTTGCATAACTTTCTCTATTTAAGAAATTCCTTCTGAGCGCGAGAAAATAAAAAATGAACAAATATATGTTTTCGTTGCAGAATTCTTTCTAATATTACCTGGGGCACAGGAAAGCATGCTTTCTTCAACTCGTATACGATTTGCTCCACCAATGATTTCCTGTTGACATATTAATTCTGGTTTAGTTAGTTTTAGAATCACATTCAAAAACTGATCCTTCGATTTCTACTTACAAATACTTTAATTTTTTAATTGATTACAATATATTTATTTTATAAATATCTTTACATAAATTACAAACCAGGTTTAAAATGAAGTGTTTGCATTAGAAAGTTTCGGTCTGTTTCTCACATTCACTAATTTGCAAATAAACAACGAAAGTATTAAAATAACCGAAGGATTATAAAATATCGTCTGCATCACACAGTTTAACATTTCTATGTCAGTGAACTGGAGTCGGGCAAATTTAGATTACCTTTGCTTCTTTATATAGTGATATATTGATACAAACCTTCTTTAGAATTGATTTTGAAAGAGATCTAGTATAAAATATTTAAAAATCTGAAGACACACCGTGTTTGTGTCGTAAACAGGAAATCACAGCTGCATTTGACTATAGAAAATCAATAGTAATATTCAAAAGTAAATGCTAGGTGTATTTCCTTCATTTCTTCAAATACCAGACATTTCAGTGAGCGGTATAAGCAATTAATGAGAAATACTCTATTGAAAGCGTATCATACGTCCTCAGGGATGATGTAAACCTTTAATATTATAACACATATTAGGCTTTTATGAAGTGAATATGATATCTATGCACACAATTAATTAAGAATTTTCATTACTTTTCACTAAATACTGTTATATTGTCTGCTATTGCCATGTTCAAGACAGTGCAAGCACTGATTAAATATCTCTATAATGGTACATACACTGATAATATATCTACGTGAAAATCGACAGACAATTTGGCTCTCAAACGAGCAAAAAAGACGAGATTTGCACACAATTACAGTGATGCATAAGCGATTAAATTTTTGACAGAGCTTATTATCTACCTAATCACCGAGACTGTGCACGCAGAAAAAATAAGGTTAGTTTTTCGCATTTTACCAAACATTTTGCTCGTAAGTGAATTTTTCTGTGTTGCATCTCTTGTGGCTGCAATAGATTTGAGCAACTTTTTGAATATTGGTACTTTAATAGAACCATCGAATAAATGAACATTTAAAAGCTGTGTTTACAAATATTTGTTTGTATGTTGTAGATTCATTAATCCACATTTGCGTGAAGAGAATCGCCTACGCCATAAAATCTGTTTTAATTTTAAAATCTTTAAATCTTTGCTTGCAAGGTTTTCAGTTACATTCAAAATATATATTTCTTATAAACAAATGTGTAAATAATTATTTCTTTATAAAATATTTATTTGTTTATACAAGATTATTGATTACAAGAAAAGTTTTTATATTTCCTTGGTAAAATATTCTTAAAAAAAATAACATGTAGAAAATCTCGATTCCAAAAAAGTACCAACATTATTCTTTCATTTACTAATCATTAAGAAATTCCATATTCCTTTTCTCATTTAATTTTATTGATTTTTGGAATACTGTTTTCGACAATTTTAAATATTTAATTTTCCAAATTAGACCTTTCACAAACAGAAGCTCACTTTTATAAATTGCAGTTTTCTTAAACTTGCTAAACACATCTTGAAAACAAACCTAAACAAGACCATCCTTTCAATTCTCTAACACGTAATATTTTAGTGTTATTAGAATCTTTTATTTTTCCCCCAAAAGAAAAGTACATATTACAATGTTATAACACAAACCGAGAAAACTTTACTTATTGCTCGTCAGATGCTTCAATGTAAGCCTCTGTTGTCGTGTTTTTAATGCAAACTTGAAACTTAGAAATTAAGTCCTCATGTACAAGAACATGGTATAACACCAACTGTTCAAAAATGGGGAATTGTGTATCAGGGGAGTGGGCAAGTAGTTCAAGAAGCACTAAAGCGCATAATTACTCGTACACCAAACAAAAAGAGGCAACGTTCCTGCCCTGCATTACTGGAACACTGTTCGGGCATGCGATCACACTCGATTCATAAGGAAATAATTTTCTGAATTTATGAGTACAAATTTAGTTAATAAATTACATTTTCTGACCCGTGAATACACTCGTTTTGATTGTACTTGGTGCGTCAGCTTATGTATGTGTTATGGCCTACCTGCGATTGTGGCCATGGGTTAAGGGGGTACGTGTAGTTAGCAAGACATCCCTATACCGTATCCTGATCTTCTCAAGCAGACAAGTGAATTTCCTCATCGTCGCACAGCAACATACTGCCACATTGCAAGGAAATGCACACTATAATCAAGCCTGACCGGGAATCGATCCCGGTGTTGTGTCATGGAAAGCAAACACGCTGACCAGTGAGATAAACCGCCAGACAAATAAACATCTAGCACCCTAAAATTTATTAATAGTGGAATTTAACTCTCAAAACTATCCGGATTAGTTGTGATTTTGTGCACAGAATATTAGTGCTGAAATTGCGCAGCGTACATAGTCAATATTTCTCCAAAATATAATGTAGCCTACATCAGAAGATTAAAACTGGACTTTCAGAAAGATAATGGGAGTATCAATTCGATTTCAAGTTTTCTTACCCCATTGCCGATGCTCTGACAGTTGAGATCGAACCGATCTTCTGCGCGATGGGATGAGCGGCAAGAACACTCGAGAGACGGGTTGATCTGTTCGCGAGACGTTGCCATCGTCACTACCAAAACTGCCGCCAAAACCGCCCGTAATATCATATCCACCCCCATCATTGATTCAGCAATGTCTCACCACTCCTTCGCAGCGATCACAGTACTTGCTGAAACACAAGAATTAACGATTATTTCGGGGAAATATCATTATAAGTTTGGGAAGAAATATCATTTTATGTTTTTTTTAAGACTGGGTTATAGTCGGTAAAAAGTGACAATGTACACTTACCGCGTTTCAAAAACAAACAAAAAGTCCGTACAGTTATTCCTAAAAGATGTTTAGCTTTTTTTTAGTTAAAGTGATGGTTATGAAGATGAAATAATATGGTGATATGGGGTGAAAGAACGAACACAAATACAACTACGACCAAGCGAGGACTCGGACCACGATCCTTCAGCCCGAGATCACTACGGCACTTCTGCCTGAACGACCTCGGCCATCCGGACGACTTAACTTCTTGCAGATGTGAGAATAGTAAGTTATTTTTCTTAAATATAAAGGGGATAGATTCACAACGTCGGATATGGTGTTGAAATAATGAACGCCTGTCTGGGAAATTAGCGACATGCACATGCATCCACGCACATTTTCCAATGCACTTAGGCGAACACAAATGCTTACATATAGACTACACATATTACACTTAGATATAAACATATACATTTGCGCACGCGCACACACACACACTCACACAGATACATGTCTATAATGGGATTCCAAACCACCACCCTCCTCTACATTAAAGATCTGTCAACACCAGTAGCTACCCATCATCCCACCTTATAGTGCTTGCAAGTCTGTTGTGAATTTCGCTGCATTGAACATTTGTTTAATTAATTAACATCGTTTTCAAAAGTGGCGATTTAAATTTTTAATAAATCGTTTTATTTGGAAGTAAGTAAAATCTCCTTCATAATTAATAAATAATACCAATAGTGAGAAGGATGAACGAGTTTTACATTATTTTTCAAAGGACAGACTCAATGCTGCTACATGAAATTCAAAATACGATTTTACTTTGAGAAAAGATAATGTCAAGTATCTGCAATAAATTCACTGTCAGTTCAAAAACGTATTTTTAAACAATTGATTTTTTCTGTATTGATCAACATTCAAATTAATTCAACAGAATTCAAACATATCTCAATCAGTCAATTGATCATCAAATGTTCAGTCTTTCAGGCAGTCTTTCATTATGCTCTCTGTTTACCATAGCGTACCAATATCGTAACTTTATTAATGAAAAAGAACACAAACCAGTATGCATGAAACACAAAAGTAACTTGCAAGAAGACAGAGCATTCGATCTTCCAGAGACAAGACCCACATCTATGAGACTAGCGTACGCAATGCAGAAACAACGCAGTCTTAGTATTGAATTTATACGAACTGCGCGCACAAAAAGCATTTCAGGCGATAAAACTCACCAAGCTCCGACCAACAAGAAGACGCTTGCGGTGCCGGCGACGTCGTGGCGCTGGCCGCATCCTTCAGCGAGAAACCTCTTCCCCTTCCCCCTCCACGATTTCCCCCTCCACCGCCGCCAGCCTCGCCCGCGGGGGGTTTCCTCCTGTCCTTGCCCGATGCGGGAGCGAGCCGGCCAAACTGCGTTCCGTACTTCCCCGTGCCGTGGAAATGGGCAGGTATTCCTATTACGGAATAGTTCCACGGCAGGCGTTAGGTCAAGTGCTTTTCCTAACTTGTGATGCCAGCAGAGAACCAGTGAACTGGTGTAGAGAGGCGATGGCCGTGTCCATGCAGCCCAATTTTCTTTACCTAACTTCTGTTTCAGGTATTTCGGCTAACATACGGGAGTAGAAAGGCTAAAGCATTTCGCGATTTCCCACATTCAATTATTCCTTCTCATATTAGAGATTAAAAAACTAGCGTGTTTCAGATGCAATGCTAAAACATCCTTCAAATGTGTTCCGAGATGCGCGGATGCAGTTTTCGCTACAAAATGAAAATTCATTCCTTTGAATTCTTACGCCAAGAAGTCATGAATTGAATTTTATTTACTTCTTTTTTTACTTTCTCTAATGTCGTGAAAATTACTTTGTATTTTCACGCCATTTAAACGCCAAGACGTCATTCATTAGTTTGACGTTGAACGTAGCGACTTGTTTTCATTACTGGGTTTCTAATTTTTTAAATTCTTCAAATCTTATATGCTAATTTTTCTAATATGAGCCCTAAATTTGTTCATCTAGCCTTGAATATAAATGGAAAATAAAATTTGAAGACATCAAATAACCGGTTCATTAGTCTAGAAAAAAGTCAAAATCGAAAAGGAAAACATATTCTCATGTCTTTAAAATGCATACTATCACTACAAATTATATAATTAATTGATACATTGATCAATCGCTCGCGACGCACGCCTGCTCCAAATGTCTTAATACTACTACTACTACTCTGACTACTCTACTATACACTTAATATATATTACTGACTATCTACTACTACTATATACTACTTACTACTAACTACTACTACTACTACTACTATCTACTTACTCATACTTACTACTAACTATAACTACTACTACTCTATATACTATACTTCTACTACTACTACTACTACTACTTACACTACATACTACTACTACTCTACTATATACTACACTCTACTACATACTACTACTACTACTACTACTACTACTACTACTAACTACTACTCCATACTACTCACTACAGTACTACTACTCTATTCTCATACTAATACTACTACTTTACTACTACTACTACTGACTACTACTACTTGATACTACTACTACTACTAGCTATACTACTACTCTAATACTACTATACTAATACTACTACACTACTATACTACTACTACTACTACTACTACTACTACTCTACTACTACTACTCCTACTATACTTACTACTACTACTACCTACTACTAATATACTTACTACTATATACTACATCACTACTACTACTCTACTACACTACACTACTACACTATACTACTACAACTACTACTATACGTATACTACTCTATATAATCTACTACTACTCTACATGCTACTCTGATACTAACTGCTATACTACTACTACTTACTACTACTACTACTACTACTATACTCAGCTACTACTACTATATACTATACTTACTACACTACTTCTGCTACCATACTTACTTAACTACTACTTCTCTACTACATACTACTATACTATACTGCTACTTACTGTATGCTACTACCTACTACTGTACTACTATACTACTGCAACTATACTATACTACTGACATACTACTAATACTACCCTACTACTACTAACTACTACTCACTATACTACTTATACTACTATACTACTAGCTACTACTACATACTACTACTCATACTTACTATACTCGTACTCACTATACTACTACTACTATACTACTATTACTACTACTTACTACTATACTAACTACTACTAGACTACTACATATACTACTACTACTACTACTACTACTACTACTATCTATACCTTTTTTCACTACTTACTATACTAACTACTACTACTACTACTATACTAACTACTATGCTACTATATGAACTATATACTACTACTTACTATCACACTTACTAACTACTACTATAATTACTACTTCTATCTACTACTACACTACGACTACACTACTACTATCTACTACTATACTACTATACTCATACTACACTAACTACTACTACGTACTTAACTACTACTACTACTACTACTACTTACTATTACTACTACTATATACTATACATCTATCTACTACTACTCTACTTACTATACTCTACTATGCTATTAACTCTACTTCTATTTCTACACTTCTATACTACTACTTCTGCTACCCACTACTTCGTGCTATTCTATCTACTTCATATTACTACTATTCTGCTACCACTTACTGTCTGCTATTACTCACTACTTCTCATTACTTACACTTCTTGCTAATTACTACTATTCTGCTGTTACTACTACTAATACTGTTCTCTACTACTTATACTGTTACTGCTACTCACTAATCAACTCTATGTTCTGCTCTCTATACTACTGTTCACTGTACTAACTACTACTGTTTACTGCTACTACTACTACACTTATGTTATGCTAACTGATGACTATATACTGTTATCGTTACTACTAATACTCGTTACTGACTATAACTACTATGTTAATTGGTAACTACTACTACTGTTAACTACTACTTACTGTTACTGCTTCTCATTACTACTAGTATATGCTACTACTACTACTGTTACTGCTACTATATCTGTTTATTGCGTACTATACTATGTTACTAGGCTATGTTATACTGTTTAACTGCTACTACTATTATTGTTACTGTACTACTACTACTGTTACTGCTACTACTACTACTGTTACTGCTACTACTACTACTGCTACTGCTACTACTACTACTGCTACTGCTACTATGGCTATTACTACAATTTATGGTAATTATACTTAAAAACTATTTTTTTCTAGTTCTGGTTTAAACTTAAACTCATTAATCTCAATAATAGAATAGAATCAGGTATTGCATAATGGGTTTATTGTGTTTTTACACAAAGAATTGATGCGCCAAATTTCGCTTAATGATTTTGAAGGTTCGTATTATTTTTGTTATACTAGTAATTGTTAAAAGTTGTTGCCTTGAACTATTGAAGAAAACGAGTTTCTCATAATTTGTAAATCTCATATATATGATATATAATCTGGAGTTTGAAGCTCAAGACAATGAAGTGTGGTTCAAAACACATTTCTGCGATTGTGAGTTTTGTCTTCCAGGTAAAATGAAACCACACCATATCCGCCGATAAGACATAAGTATCTGCGTTATGCGCAACGCTGTTGACTCCTTTTGCATTAGAAGGATTTTGGTTTGATGAAGTGCATCTCCGTTAGCTTTATAGCAAATCAAGAAAAAAGAACAATGCATTAATACATACATGGTACTGAACAGGCAGAATCTATTCATACCACGCACTCTATCATTGCCATTTAGAATCATTAAAATCATGCGAGAAAAATATCATCTTATACAATAATTAAATAGTTAATGCCCAAAGAAAACTAAACCCTTTCATTTCATTCTAAAAGATTGCATGATTGAAAGATATCATGTTTCCATTGTATTGACGTTCATGAATGTATGCGATTAATATGTGTAAATGGATGGCATCTTGTGTCCCGCTCCCTTATACACCCACCCACGAAAGGAGGATTCCAGATTCATTGAATGACGGAAAACGAAATTAGATAAACACTTTATTTAATTCTTTGACATAGTGGCAGTGCCTAATTATTCTAACTGCAAACTATTTTTATGCGTGTTGGAAAATATTTATGTATTGTCTTTAAGCTTTAAATCGTTAAACATCTAATAGAAGATATTCGCTATGATATACGTTATTAATTAAACTTATTTTTTCGTTCGCGCAATCTCTCTTCCAAACAATACATAAGAAAACAAGTCAAATATGTTTTAGTATCACACCCACGTAACCACTTGTGGTGTTTACCATAAAAATCATTTCTGAATTTTCGATTAAATTCTCTTTATACTTTACATTTTGAATCAAACTTTATCACTTGATTTAGGTTTTCTAAGTTCTATTTTTTCTTTTATAGGATGCGAAGCGAAAGGAGTTTCCATTCGGGCAAGTGAATTGACAGGAAAATCGAATATTTGATCACACCGGGATCAGTCCGAGAGCATCTGTTATCCATGGTGATATATTTGTCTTTAATGTTTTTGCGGAATGAATTGCGTAATATCAGGAAAATAAGTACTGAACGTTTGTAATGTTCACTAATCCAAGAATGAAAAAGGGACTAAAAATCTCCACAAAGTCGGAAGAGATTCTTACTTTATATAGAAAGATGAAATGTCGATTCTATTTTACAAGGAGCGACGACAACAATTTAACATACACAAAAAATTATTTTGATTTGAATATTTCACATACACACACACACATACTGACATGCGTAACAACGAATGTGTGATAAAATAAGAACCTCCAGAATCCATAATCCATCATGCGCACTGCGGCGAAATAATCTTTCAAGATGATCAACCTTTACATAGAAGAAATTGCTCTTTCTAAATGCATATTTTGAATTCACAAACGCAATATCCCAAACATCCGAAAGCGTAATTTTCCCAAACATCCGAAATAATGCTCTCAATATTGGTAAATATTAATTGAGATTGTGTGTTTTAATGATAGTGTGATTTCGAAAAACTCAGAATAATGAAATAGTATATTTAATTAATCTTCAGGATGTATTGGACATAGTTTCATTAAATATAATAATAAATTCTGCAAACAGTTTATTATAATTTCGATGGGTTCGAATTTATCTCCTCTATTCTCAGAAATGTTTATGAATAATTTGTGGAATAACTTATTTAATAACATGATGTCGTTATTAAAAACATAATACATTTTTAAAGATAGTATATAGATTATATTATATGCTTTTAGAATGATGCACTCAGTTAATGA